TATCTTAGCCAGTTTTATTAGAAGAAGAAATAAATGAATGTCTGACCTCTAATTTACGTTAGAACAATAACTTGTAGACTCTGGACACTGCCTGACACTTCTTATTGTTAAGGAAAGCTCATGTGAATTTGTCAAGCACATAGTATGAAAGTGAAATATAGTAATTAAGATTTGTGTTCTATTGATTGTGTAGCTTAAGTAATTTTTCATTACTAACATAAGATTTAATAAGTATAAGTAGTTAAAGATTCTGACTTGGCACTAGTCATTAGCATGTAATTGAACTAGTGAAAAAGATCAGTTAAAGCTGTGTTGATTACTACCTTATCTTTGAAAGGCAATTAAAGGCCTCAATCATTGCAACAAGATTTGATTGTGCAGCCTTTATTGGACATTGATCTTTCAGCAAAGTGCAGTTACATTTTCCATTAATTTACAGTAACATAGTTTAACTCTGATACCCTAGACTGTTGACCCAGGTGAGATGTAATGCTAAGTACTTGTTTAGGTTAAGATGCTCCCAAACGTCACTACCTCATTACTGTCTCAATGCTGTGTGCTGAATATAGACGATACCTGATCTGCTAGCATTAGGATAAGGTTTCTGTTATCTGCATTAACTTTCAAGTGAAGTGAAATGAAGATCCTTGTCTTTGATGTCATCTCACACACTTAGACATCATTACTCTTTAATAGATCTAAAAGGCATTTTATGAAGAATTGTAGATGTTCTGTGCCTGAGGTTCTGGGTAAACATAAATATAAATGACAAAATAAAATGTTCTTACAATACATATGGCTTTAAATTTAAAAAATTTTTATTACTGGTGTGTGTGGGGGGAGGGCCTATGTGTGGAGGTCAGAGGACAGCTTTGTGGAATTGGTTTTCTCCTTCCACCTTTATGTGGGTTCTGGGAATTGGACTCAGGTTACCAGGCTTGCATGGCAAGTGTCTTTACATATTGAACCATCTCATTAGCCTTCCGTATGGATTTTTAATAGTTAAAATGTATTTCAATTTTTACTGGTGTCAACAATGAGCAAAACACTGTTAGTAGTCAAATATATGTGATGAGAAATACAACTATTTGTACAACATGGCGTTTAAGGACATCGCCACTGAGAAAGCAGGAGCTTTTATATTTTTCCTAAGATTTCTTTTTGTTTTTCTTGTATATCTTATGCATTGCCCATGGAGGCCAGAATAAAGCATCTGATCTCCTGGAACTGGATTACTGCTGATTGTTAGCTTTCATGTGGGTAGTGGGAATCAAACCTGTGCCCTCTGGAAGAGCATTAAGTGCTCTTAACCTCACAGGCCATTCCTCCAGCCCCAAAGGGTTTTTTTGTTTGTTTGTTTGTTTGTTTGTTTTTTCAGCACCTCTTTCATACTCCCAGATATGTTGATGTCTCTTAAAGCTCACAGCTTACATAGAAACTAAGAATTTTGCCTAGAAATTTCTTCTTGCACTTTATAATTGATATGTGTGGAAATGAAAAGAGAGAGGAAGGTATACCAAAGTTAACATGAACATTTTCACCAAAAGTGATGCCAGGCTTAGTTTGTCTTTATTGTTGCTGTGTTATCTCCTCTCTCTCTCTCTCTCTCTCTCTCTCTCTTCTCTCTCTCTCCCTCTCTCCCTCTCCCTCTCTCTCTCTCTCTCTGGTATGTAGGGTCTGGAGCGATGCCTCCACAGTTAAGAATGCTTATTGCTCTTTCAGAGGACCTGAATTTCATTCCTGGCACCCATTTAGGTGGATCACAACCACCTATAACTCCAGCTCCAGGGTGTTTGACACCTTTTCTAGCTTCTGTATGAACCTGCACACATTCCTCCCTCCCTCCCTCCTTCCCTCCCCCCCCCCTCACACACACATTTTTATTTGTATATAATAAAGCTATATATACATATATATAAACTTCATATACACATATATGTAGAGACAGAGAATATTAGCATACTCACCCCATCCCTTTCCCCTTCCTCCCCCCCTTTAAATTCCTTCTCCTAGTAATCTCCTTTAATGCCCTAGACAATTTCACTTCATTTATACATACATGATTCATGTTACTATATAAAGTCTAGAAACTATAAATGAGAGAATATATTTGTCTGAGAATGGCTTCAGTAATGATCATCCAGTTGTATCCCAAGTTCCTGAAAAGGACACAATTCTATTCTTTGTCACAAGACCAGATACTGTTAAATATAAACTGAATTAAGGAACTGCAGGCAGAAAGTCTTGGTCAATGGTTTCATAAACCAAGGGTGGGGTCCACCTGGTTTTCTCCTTACTGTCCTGGGTTAGTGGGTGTGGGCAAATATGCACTCACTGCCTTCAGTCTCTCTCCCTCTTCCCTTCTTACCTTATTCTTTTGAAATCTGTCAATGAAACCATTTATAAATAAAAGGAACAGAAATATGTGTGTTAGAAAAAATACTTTGTGATAAAAGTAAAATGTGTGCTAAAAAGCATAATCATGATACATGGTTTAAAAACTGTTGTTTTTTTTTTTTGCAAAAACAATTGTGTGTGTATGTCACTCTGTGTTGCACATGTGGGCGCATGTGTGAATGTCAGAGGGCAGCTTCATGGAGTTGGTCTGTCCTTCCATCCTTATATACTATCCTGGGATCAAACTCAGCTTGCCAGGCTTGCACGGCAAGAGCTTTACCTGATGAGACATCTTGCCAGAGTCATGATACATCTTAGGGTGGAAAGATCCCTTGTTCTTTTCAACTTACAGGTGGAAAAAAATGAGACACAAAGTAGTAGACATTAGCCTTAAGGCAAAAAGACAATACTGAAGCCAGAAATAGACTCAATATCCTGGCTTCTTAGATTTACACTCTATCCCTTCTGGGCTATGTTTGTTTGCAATAGACAACATTTAAGAAAAAAAAAGAAAGAAGAAAAGAGAGAAAGAAAAAGGAAGTTAAAATCTTTGCTGTTTCTTGGGAAGCAAGTTTCATAACAAAAGATTCACTCTAATGTTTAATAAATTCAGTGAATTATATTTTAATTTTTGATCTCTGCCCCTAGTCATCACTGGTTCATCCTTCACCATGATCAACCACATGAGCAAGAGGTCTATTGATTTTCATGTAATACAAGAAAATATTACATTTGCTTAATTGTTACACAGCAAACACACCAGACAAGAAATCAAGCCTCTATTTAATGCTGCAGTAGCAGAGAATTACAGAGATCAATAGGGTAGTTTGTCAAAGATGTTCTCCTAGGAGACTTACCTATCACTATACGGACAAGAAGTCACACTGACTACAGCTATTGAAAAACAGGTAAGCAGAGTCAGCAGTACAGATTATCAGAAATCAAACTGGCCAGTGTGAAAAAGAGGTACAACTGGACTGAAAAGCTGTATTTATGGTCTGGTAATTAAAAACTATGTTATCAACCTTGTGTTGAGACAAACCTTTACGGCATGTATTGACATGATCAGCAGCAGCGAATGAGCAGTACTTGACTTAAAACTTATGAGCTATAGTTATTTAACTTTGTCCTTACAGAGGAAATCAGTTCTAGCCTTCTTTGCAAAATGCTAATAGTTGTTTTATTATTAATGAAGCTTAATGTAACACCATCTTCTTTGGACAAGCCATTCATTTAAGTAGAGTCAAGCATATTTTTCTGGACTAAATATATTGGCATAAGTACTTTGATTAAAGTGTTACTTAGAATTGTGTTTAGACAAGTGCACATACATATATTAGTACAGTTCCCTATCTGTAGCACATTTAAAATGACTACATTTGAGGGGCCATTTGTATGACTTTGTTATTCTGATGGTCTCACTTAGTCATTTCTGGAAGTTACCTCTCTATTAATTTGCCAGAAATAACATCCAAATGTTGGTTAGATGAAACTGTGTAAAATGTTTTCCGACAAAGATGTGTAAACACTGCAGTACCAGCAACACATTAACATAAAAGGCTATATAATGTATGTTTGTAATTATGAAGTGATCATAAATCTTAAACACCCATTGGTTTAGAAATTAAATAGTCCTACTTAGTTCTCCCTAAATTGCTCCAAATTTCGGAAATTTACCATTCATCTGGGTATTTTGTAACTATCTCTAAGGATAAATTTTTTTAATGACTTTGCTTTCAACAATGCAATTAGCTTAATAAAATTCTAATACAAAAGTGTTATCAGGTTTTAAAAATTTCAGCCCACTCCCCATGGTCAGTAAATCTGTGTATATGTGCCACTTCAGTTCACTGCTTTTATAAACAGCTGGCAAATTCATTTTTTTCCTTCTTTTTTTTCCATTCATTTATTTAGTTCATAAATAAAGTCATGTACAATTATGATACAGAATACAGTATGTTTACAATGGCATGACTAAATTAAATGGCAAATTCATTCTTTTTGGGCCTTTCTAGACCTTAGTTTTCTTAACAGCTTTGTAGTATGTTATCTTTTAACATTAATTATGAGTATTAATTTCATTCACCTTGTTGCATTTACATTGACAAGAGCTATAGCCACATTAAGAAGTACTATGGCATTGCGTTCTTCTTGTTGTTTCTTTTGTTGTTGTTGTTAGGGTTTCAAGTTGCCCAGGCTGATGATGATGATGCCCAAGATGCCCTACAGCGAAGAGTGAATTTGAATTCTTGATCTTCCTGCCTCCACTTCCCTCGTGCTGGGATCGTAGATGTACACCTTCATTTTATTCCTACCACTTAGTCCAGATAAATAGTACAAGAGCTTAAAAAACAAAACAAAGAAACCACTTCTATGCAAAATCTTAACTGCTGAATGCTTACGTTTACAGTTGCAATCAGGTTCTCATCTGTTTTGAACTTGTCAATGATATCATATCTAAGTATCCAACATCATCTCCGTTTCCCCACATTATATTCCCCCGTTCCACCATGATTTTCCATTTTTTGTGGAGAATCTGTTTTTTCTTCAGAGCTAATTTAAATTGTTAATATCCAGCTATAGAATCTGTCTTCATGGACTCATTTTTTTTTTTTTTAAATCTGTAGTTTAACCTAGTTCTAGGGAAACAGGAGTGAAGCCATGTGCGCTTGTAGTTCCCATTAGCAAAACAGTACACCATATATAATAATGTAGAAAAAACTTCCCTCTAGGGGATAGTGATTCATCTTTAAAAAACCACACACCACAGAAAGACAAAGGTGTTTGCCAGCGTTTTATTTTAAAGAATCAAAAATAAATATTGTGTCACACACACACACACACACACACACACACACACACACACACACACACACACACACACACGGGAACAAATTCATTGACATTTGTATTTTCCAATGCACATTCTCAATACATGGCACCTTCATCTTCTTTATTTAGAAAATAGATTGTTATTGGTCCATAACTGGTATGAACAGTCTCTGTGACTCTGGCAAATAACCAGGAGCCAAGTCCATATAACAAAGTTGGAATACCTAGAAAACAAATAAATATGTTACGTGAGAAGATCAGTACTTATTAATCATGTACTAACATATGTCATGTTACTGATCATGTAAACAGTCTTCAGCAATGTTAACATAAAGCTATAGAAACAGAAATGTATGACCAGATGCTCACTATGATTACTGAAGAGCTGGACTTGATCTCTTTGTGGAACATGGTAACAATTATGTGAGCCTAGATTTTTAAAACTATAGATGAGACTGATACAAACTTTAGTACAGAGAGAGCACTTGCTTAATTCATTATCCTCAATTATGACATAATTTTATATTCTCACAAATAAGCAGAGAATATCCATTATTTGGTTGTAAATGTCCCTGATTATTTGCTTTAAGCTAAAATTACTAGGTCCACTTTGTTGTTCTTTAAGTTAGATTGGAACACTGATGGATAAAGAAATTTTTGTTCAACTTAGAAACTTGCCCAAACAACTTCTTAGACAAAATCTAACTTTTAGGAAGATTTTAGTGTACCCAGCATGAAAAGAACACTCTCATTAATAATTCTGTAATTGATTTGAAAACAATCTTGTTTCAGCTTATCTGCACAGACTCCAATAAGTCTTTCTCTTTCAAGATTGCCATTAATAAGGTTTCCCTGTTTTATTTGAGATTAACTCCTGCACATTATATATCAAACTAAACATATACATACTATCCAGAAATATGGATTCATATGCATATGATGCTATGTTGTATGCAAAATAGACTTCCATAATTCTTAACTTTTAAGGCACTTATTTAAAATCAATGACTATTAACATATTAAAAATACATTGTATATATATATGTGTGTGTGTATAAAACCACAGGCACACAAATCAAAAACAAATACTGTAGGCCCTGCACAAGTATTAATTTTATTGCTGCCTTGTGGGAAATGGGCAGAAAGAGGCAATTCAAAAAGATAACTGCTCATTTGGAAAATCTCTTTCTAGTTAATAGAGAAACCTACACATATTCAACACTGATCTGACTGCTGAGTTTTTCTTCCTTTCCTGCAGGAATATCTTCGAATATATGTGTTGGAGTACTCTGTGATGCCAGAGCGAGCAGAGGAGGTTGGCAGAGGGATGGTGGGGAGCCAGATGCCTCCTGCTCAGGTACTTTTCTACTTTTAGAGACAAACATACCAGATTATAGTTTGTAATTTATTACCACAGAATTCCCTGGAACTCCCAAGGAACTTTCTACAGTACACTGCTGTCTTTGCCCTCGCCATACCCCCAAAGAATCCCAAAAGTCTCCAGAAACTGTCACAAAAATAAATCCTCAAAAAAAACCCGACAATATAAAGTTATTTGCAAATCATTCATCCAAAAAGAAAAAAAAGGAAAAAGAAAATCAAGAAGTGTGTGGTGGGAAGGCAGACTGACAAGAAAAGAATGTGACGTGATAGGCATATATAAGAAAGGAGTATAGGGTACAGGTTGAAATAATAATAATAAATAAATTCCAATATGACACTACCACTCCAAAATCTGAAAATCAGTGTGATGAGAAAATCTAAAGGGTCCTCGAAGCAATTATTAGTTTTCTATATACACTGAATGCAAGATATAATATACATGTGCCTTTTAAACCAACACTAAGGTTTGAGTGTAGGAAATGGCAGTGACCCTGAGAATTATTTTTTCTTATGGTATTTAACACAGCTTTCAGTTAAATATTCTTTTAAAACTTATACTTTTGAAAACAAACCATACAAATAAATGCCCACCAAATAAAATAAAGAACTGACTAATGATTACTAGTGTAATAGTAAGCACAGGAAGTAACCATTATCATTCATGCTTACTGACAGGGGTCAGAGTTGTAAGGGGGTCAGAAATTCTCTGTTGGAATGAATGAGTATTTGGGGGTTTTTCCACGCTAGAATGCAGATAATAATGCACTAATGAAGAAGATTTGTTGCCTTTGTATTTTACAGATTTTAAAAAAAATCAGTCTGTATGCTTCAAAATCAAAATCTTTAAGATTCCATGAGAAAAAAATTCAGACTACCAGAGACAGAGAGCATCAAAATGAACTTGAGAAACAGTTCTTTGTATAATCATTCATTTTGAGTTAACTGAACAGTAGGTAAGTACTTTAAAAAAATTGGAACTTTGTAGTAAGGCTCCTATTACCCATTTATTTCAATGGTAAGTTGCTTTTCTTAAATCTTAATTTATTTCCCAGCAGGATGCTTAGACTGATAAATCATCAGTAAAATGTCAGCTCCATGGAAGGGAAGATGGAGGAGAAAGGGAAAAAGGAGTAAACAGAAATTCTATTATTTACAAAACAGAAAATGAATTATTCTGATTACTATTTGTTTAGAAGGGAGGATGAGGTGGGTAAAAAAATCCTTTGTATTCTTACCACCAGGCTGGAGAGATGGCTCAGCTGTTAAAGGCTAGGCTCACAACCAAAAATGTATTCTTATTACCAACTAAGGACTTAATGATCCAGAGAGGCAAACTGTACATCACAGAATAGGATCCTGTTACTTAATTCACATTTCTCTTAGTTCAGACAAAAATACAAAATAAACATTACTAAGTTGGTAAAAAACATTTCCGAGTAAGACTATTTGTATTGAAGCATGCAGGAACACTTTCTCTCTTTGCTGCACTTGGAACTCCTCTTCTCATTTAAGTAGCATTTTTTAGAATTTCTAGAACCCTTCCACATTAAAAAAAAAAAATCACCCCTATATCTGTTTTTTTTTTTTTGAAAGGGTTTTATTTACTTTTCTATGTGGGAACGTGAATATTTTTTTTCTTCTTTTGGTGTCTTAATGACTTACACCTAAAACAGATCCCTTAATCATCACAGGTATCTTAAAAGAAATGCTAATTGTAAATTGTGACATTTTAAATGAGGGATCCAGCCTATTCAGTTTACCTATTCCTTAGCCTTACAGTCAAGTCTCCCTAATCTATCACTCTACATGTGGAAAAGAATGATTCCTACTGACTGTAAATGTTAAACTCATTTTCACAACTAGTTAGCACTCCAGCTTTTCCACATACTTTCAGTCTCAAGTTTCTAAGTCATCTTATACCAACTTGACTTTCAAAATTAGTGTGCATGCTCTGTATAGTCCATCAGCCAAGTAATGAAACATTTTAAAAGGATTATATACATTGCTGTATAAACTCCTTCCTAGATTAAGCCTAGGGCAGTGCCAGTGTGACAATAGTTCAAAAATCCCATGTGACATGTGAGTGATTAAAGCAGAAATGACCATGCCTTATTCAGTTTAACGAACTATTGGATTATATATAGTACTAGTACAGCTCCATAGAGTTTAGTGTAATTTTGGATTAAAAGAAAAACTATTTGGGTTTAATGATTTGGGAAGCCAAATCATTAAAAGAAAATGATTTGGCTTCCTTGAGTGACTGAAATCTAAATCTAAGCTAATTTTTAGTAGCTATTAATAGGTCCGAAACATCTCGAGGACTTGTATTTTCCCAGATCTATATAATGCTATCACATCTACGATCCATGATACCGACCTGCTGTTAAACCCAAATAACATAAATATCTAGAGGGAGGATATACAGTTAGAACTAGATCTCCAGGAACATAAGTACTAAAGAGGCACCTGAAAAAAAATTACGATATCTGGAGAGAACCTACTGTTCTTAGCAGAACACACTTGCTGAGATTTCACATAAAGACAGAAACTTTAAAAGTCCCCCAGTTTTTGTCCTCCAAAGGCTCCGGGTGATGAGCCCGGGAATGACTCTTGCTAAGCAACTTCAGAGCCACTGTCCAAGTGGGGGCGTTTCCTGATTTGCTCCTGGCTGCCCGAGGCAGGGTCCTCCTGCGTGGACAGTGGCAGGGCATGACCTCAGGGGTGATGCAGGCAGCCCGCTGGGGCGGAGCAGCGTGCTAGTGGACCTGCAGCCGCCCCCCCCTGGCTGGAGGAGTCCTTGGATCAGGCGAGGGCTCCGCCACTCACCCAGGTTGATGACCTTGAGCGCCGTGAAGAAGCGGTTCTGAGGGGCCAGGTCCTGCCAAGGCGCCTTGGAGCAGTGGTACTTGATGAAGGGGAAGCAGCCGGTGCGCAGGACGTGGTAGTTGGCGCCCGGCACCGGCCAGTTGAAGTGAGACAGGCCGAACTGGTCGTTGTGGACCGCGCTGTAGGGCACGCAGAAGGAGGTCCAGTGCGGCAGGCGCCGCTGCACCAGGTGCAGCGTCAGCACTTCCGAGGCGCGGGGCTTCGGGCGGGAGGCGGCGCCCAAGGCCCAGGACCGGCACAGCAGTAGCCGCAACACGACCTCGTGGGCCCTCCGCAGGGCCTCCATGGCCCGGGCACGCCAAGGAGTAGGCCCCCGGCCCCTGGGGGCGCGCCTCTGGGGGCGGGGCCTCCTGGAGTGCGTGCGCATGCACGCTCCCCCTCACCACCCTAGGCTAGGGCTGGGAACGCCCAGCGGGAGGCGCGTGGGTGGATGCTCTCCCCCACCCCCGGGGGGGGGGGTCTGGGATGTGCGCGTGCGCAAAGTGGCTCGCGGCCTCTGGCGGACGGGAGGGGAGGGCGGAGCGACTGCGTAAATCCGGAAAAATTGTCACCTGTGGCCTCAGGTATCATTTGTAACCGTGGAGCGGGGAGAGAAACGGGAATGTTAAACAACCCACCTGAGCGACTGGCAGAATTCAGGCGCGGGGCTCCAGGGAAATCCTCAGGGATGCTGATCAGCGGGAGGTGTGGAGGTGTGCTCAGGAAAGTGCGCTGACACCAAGGTCTGGTATGTCCTATTTGGTAGGCCTTGACATCTGGTGACCTTGGGCAGCACTTTCTTTTGCTGATGTCCTCACAGTCGCGTTCACTGTCCAGACTGATTCCTAGATAGGGCAAGATTAAAAAGGCCCCCAAGTCAGATGTGGTAGCACTTGCCTTGTAATCACAGCACTGAAGAGGCTGAGGTGTAAGGATGAGGAGTTGGAAGCCAGCCTGGGCTACATAGAGGAGAACCTGTCTCTAAACAAAGAAGCACCCCCCCAAAAAAAAAAAAAACTGAAAAGAAGAAAGGAGTCTTCCTCATTCAGTGCCCTGAGGCTCAAAGGGAGGACCAACTTCGGGAGACACATCCCACAGAGTTGATGCAAAAGCAAGAGGATTTTATTCCAACACGTTGGGGTCTTTCTCTGAGAGTTTCCAAAGCAAGCAGTTTTTATATCTTTTTGGTCACTAGGCAGGAGTATGACATCATATTGATTAGCTATAATATACATGAGTCATTTACTGAATGGTTGGGAACTGAACTTACAATTTTGCCCACTAGGGGTTTGGAATGTTATTTTGGTTTTTACACCTGCAAGGCCATGGGGCAGCTAGTGGTTTTTCTGGGAACAGAGTGACTTATACTTATTTTCAAAACTTGGGTGGGAATGACTCTTTGGAGCAGAGTAACCCATAACAATTTTTAGAAACCAGACAGTTGTTGAGGATAATAACATTCCTTGGAAACTAGTAATAATAACAATTTCTAGAGACTGGTCATCATGACCGACCATTTCATGTGTTCTTTTTCCCAGAGCTGTGTGTGTGGCCAGAGTGATTTTCAAATACATGCTGGTGGGTATCAGGCTTGGTTTGAGTTGGTGTCTTTCACTCCCTCCTGAGAAGACAGTAAATACCAGGTCAGGATATGGCAGTCACCAACCTATATAATCCTCAATTACTCACGTTTAATATATTACTGTAAGAAAGCATTTCTCAAACTTTGTAGCATATTGAGGCATTGTTACTCTTATTTATTCTCAATTTATTTGAAGAGAACAATTAAATAGGATGAGGTTTCTGGAAAGCACCTTATGCAAATGAGGTAATTATATGTGTAGGTACCATATAACTATTATTTGCTGAAAATTCAAGCATATAGAATTTGTTTTTTATAGTCTCCATTTTGAATTATTCAACGTTGAGCTTATTCTACAAACATCGGATATTTAGGAGGTCTTGTAGTTATGCAAATAGTTTGAATTTATAAGATTATCTATTAGATAACAATTTTTTTTCAGAAATAAACTTAGGTGGAGGCATGCTTCGTTTAGCTATGGAAAATAACTAGGATGATTGTTGAAGGGAAACAGGCAGATGCTACAGTACCAGAATGTGGTGATATTTTGTTTATGATCTAACAAATAAAGCTTGTCTGAAAATCAAAGTGAAAAGCTACACTAGTTAGCAGGCAGTGGTGGCACACACCTTTAATCCCAGCACTCGGGAGACAGAGGCAGATGGATCTCTGTGAGTTCAAGGACACCCTGGGCCACATGAAATTGATTCAGTCTAAAAGAGAAAACAGCTCACACAAAGGTGATCCCAGCACTTGCAGTGACATGTCTTTAATGCCAGCACTAAAGAGGTGGCGACAGAAAGGGATATGGTTGAGCAGAGAGAGGAATATAAGGCCGGAGGATACAGGAGCTCAGGGCAGTCTGAAGCAGTCTGAGGAGGCAGTCTGAGGTAAGAGTTAAGAGCTAGTGGCTGGCTGCTTTGCTTCTCTAATCTTTCAGTCCCCCCCCCCACCATATCTGACTCCAGTTTTTATAATTAAGACCTTTTAGAACTCGTGCTACACCAGAATTTTCAAAATAAAGTTTTAAAAACAATGAGTTTTTTTTCAGACAAAATCTGTCACAGAATTCCAACATATAAAGTAAAAAATAATGTAATGTGTTTATTTCTAAACACTTATAAATTCATGTTTTTAGTAGTAATTTCATAAGTAAACTGGCACCACAACAAAATCAAAGATGGTTTGTTGTCTTGGGTTTCATTTTTTGAGTGGGAAGGGGATTTATTAGAAGTAAATCAGGTAGATAAAATAATAAATGTGGAGTATGCAGAACCAAACTCAGAAAGTGGGAAAGAATGGAGGAAGCCTGGGCAGTGAAGACATGGTTAAGAGCAGATTAAGAACTATTGTAATGAGGATGCCCAGCTGGCCCCACTGTCACCGCACTTTCAACTATGTTTTTGTTTGTTTGTTTGTTTTAATTGCAGAACAGTGGCAATTACAGCTGCCAATTTTTCCTGCATCTTCTGCTTTGGCTATTCAGAACAATTTTATACTATTCAGAAAAAATTCTGATCTTTGCAGAGAAACAAATTTTTTTAAAGTGGATTTTTAATGATTTACCTTAAGCATAAGCACAGGCTTCTGTTATATATATCTTTAAATGGCAGCAGGAGATTAATTATGAGAACTACACTAAACTAATCTAACATCAAATTAACATGTGGTCAGATTACAATCTTTTAATTTTGGGCATTATAGACTTTTTGATGATATAAAATTCAATTAAAAATGAAATTGAAGTAAACATGTACTGAGATCCTGAGATACAATGTGTCTGAGAAACTAGCTTCGATGGCATATGAGATTTAAAAGAAACCACTGATGTAGATGACCATATATTACATAAGTTCACTGTTTTTTTGTCATTATGAAGGCTTTGAAAAGAGTTAGTGAACTGAAGAACTAATGTTGGATCCTGCTGTGTTGGGTAAACCTCATCACAAAGATTTTTCCCTAATGTAAGGCTGTTTGACTCTTCCCTTCTTTTCTAGTCTAATAAAAAAGTTCTTCCAATGAAACTAGGTAGATGGTAGGCCACTCTTCATTTGAGAATGTTCTACAGATCGGAAGAAATATGTAAACATTGTACTCACTCCACTAATATGCCAAAACTTGGAAGTCTTCTAGTCATGCAAATAGTTTGTCACATGTATGTATATAGAATACTCTCCTAATTACTAAAATACTCTCCTAAAAGTCATTAAGGGAAATGCAACCCAATAGAAAGAGAGAACTTGATGCATCAGAAGTGAAGACATCCTGGTGTGTAATAAATGTGTACAATGTGCATAATTTCAAACATCATTTGAGAAGTGGAAATTAAAACTACAATACAATAGCATCATATGCTGGGCGTTGGTGGTACACACCTTTAATCCCAGCACTCCGGAGGCAGAGGCAGGCAGATCTCTGTGAGTTCAAGGCCAGTCTGGTCTCCAGAGCGAGTGCCAGGATAGGCTCCAAAGCTACACAGAGAAACCCTGTCTTGAAAAACCAAACCAAGCCAAACCAAAACAAACAAAAAAAATCAATAGCATCATACACCCTTTAGAATGGCCAAAGTGGAAAAGACAGAACATTCTAAGGACTGAGGATATGGAGAAAGCTTTTCCAAAATGGAGCAATTGGATATTTTTTTAAAGACTTATTTCTTTATATTTTATATGTTTGGGTGTTTTGCCTGCGTATATGTCTGTGCACCGTGTGTATGTCTGTGCCAGTAGAAGCCAGGAGAGGGCATCAGATCAGTTGGGACTGGAATCACTATTTAAGTGCTAGGAACTGAACCCTGATCCTCTGAAAGAGCAGCCAGTACTCTTAACCCTAAGCTGTAGGCATAAGTTTCTGTCCCACCAACCAGCTCCTAAATAACCATACAGAGACTTATTATTAATTATAAATGCTTTGCCAATAGCTTAAGCTTGTGACTAACTAGCTCTTACAACTTAAATTAACCCATATTTATTAATTTATGTGCCGCCACATGGCTCATGGCTTATCTCATTTTCTACACGTCCTGCTCCCTCTGCATCTGGCTGGTGACTCTGTCCCTCTCCCCAGCGTTCTCCCAGTCTTGCTCTTCTGCCTAACCTCTTCCTGTTTAACTATTGGCCAGTTGGCTCTTTATTAAGCCAATGAGAGTCACACATCTTCACAGTGTACGAAAGGATTATTCCACAGCACTGAGCCATCTCTCCAGCCCCTAATTAGAGTCCTTACCCATTCCCAACCCCCATGTGTATGTGTGATAGTCTTGTTATATTTCCCAGGCTGACCTTGAACTTGCCATGTTCTACCTCAGCCTTATATATATGGCTTTGCCAGATATATTATAGGTGAGGATATGCAAGCCTTATGACACAGACCTTGTACTATTCCTAGGTCTATACCCATATTTTATTTGGGCTACCATAACAAAAATGTCATTCACTGGGTGGTTTTAAAAAATGGAAATTTATTTCTAACCAGGGATATCCAAGGAATTGACCAGTTTTGCTTCTCTGAGGGTTTTCTTCCTGGCTTGCAATGCTGCCTTATCACTGTATCCTCATATGGTTCACCTACTTTTTACAATCTCTCTCAGATTTCAGCTCCACTTTGGTGACTTTTTTTTAAACCTATAGCACCTCTTCTTGGGCCCTATTTCCAAATGCAGTCACACTAGGGTTGAGGTTTTACTATATGAGCTTGGATGTATGTGGAAGGAAACACATTCAGCTATAATAATGCCTAACTTAAATTATGAATGTATGTTCTCCAAAGCACATATACTAGAATATTTACAGCATCAGT